AGGAGCCAGAGCAAGCCCAGAGCTGGCAGGGAGCAGGACCTGCTCCCCAGCTCAGGGTTCGGTGCTCTGCCTGCGAGCCAGGGGCACCATGCAGGCTCCAGGTGCTGGCAGCCTTGCTGGCCAGCTTGACACAACCTTGTACCCAGGCTCTCCAGGAGTAGCCCAGCTGCAAGGACCATGCAGCCCCATGCTGCAGCCCGGGGCTCCTGCTGCACAGTTGGGGGTACATGTGATATCCTGGGAAGTATCCATCCTCCTGCCTAAGCCCAGGTCCCTGCTGAAGGAGCACCATTCTGGCAGACCTCCAGCTCAGCTCACACAGCAAGTGGTCCCTGGGGGGCTGGAGGAGCTGCAGCTGAGCAGGCACCAGACGGTTGTTGGCCCAAGCACTATGGGGGGGGCAGAGAGAGTGGCAGTGGTGGGGGGAAACCTGTTGCTACAGTTGTGGACACCCAGGCTGGGTACAGGGATACCACTGGGTTCCCTAAGCACTGGGAAAGGGAGAGGGTCAGGACACTTTGCTGTGGTCCCAGATTCCTAGTGCTCGGCTAAAGGAAGCAGGGAGCCCCAAACAAGGTCTCCTTTTATCCACCCCGAGAAACCCATGTTTATTACTGCTTGCCCTGCTGTGGAGCTGTTCCCCCTCCTCATCCCAGCCTCCCCAACAGGCCAGGCACCCCATGCAACACTATCACCCTGCAGATTAAGCCACCCTCTCATTTCCCTGCAACCACTGAGCCAGGCACGGGAGACAGCCGACCGCATCCTCCCAGCCACATCCTCCCAGCCTCCAATGTTGGGGGCAAGGGCGTGCCTAGCAGGCCTGTGTCCCATCCCAACCTGGGCCCTGGATGGGGAGGAACAGAGCTAGCCCAGGCCCTCCCAGCCCCAGCCATGCCCTGGCTATGGCCAAGATCAGCCTGGTCTCCCCCCATGACACGGCAGCACACCAGCACAGCACCTCGCTCCCAGATATCACCAGTGTGTTGGCCTCCAGGGCTAGGGTGCAGAGTCTCCCACACAGAGCAGTGGCCACTGGGGCACGCACAGCCAGGTACCAACCCATGAGCAGGACCCCTAACCTGCCCAGCTGGCTTCTGCAGGCTTGGGGAGGTCTGAAGGCTGCTGTCAGCAGGTTCAGCCAGCCAAAGTGCAGGGGATGCTGAGCAGCATAGCGGTGCCCACATCTGCTGCCCCCTCCATCTTCGAGGGACCAGATCAGCAGCTGTGATCTGATCAGTGATCGCAGAGAAGGAGCCAGCCCTAACACAGGCGCAAGAACCCGTGGGGCAGGCAGTTTCCCTCCCTGATGCCCAGGGTCTCTGGCTACAGGCTCATACCCCTGTTGTCACCAGAAACAGAGGCACCACTTCCATCAGGGAGCAGTGGGCTCAGCCAGCATCCCCTGGGACTTGCCCTGTCCCCCCCTTGCTGGTCACACAGGCACAGCACCAGTGCCAGCAGCTGCTCAGGGAAACCCTGCCCGCCCCCCCCCAGGCTCCCACGGAGGGTACAAATTACGATAGGAGTGTCTGTAGGCACTCAGCTGCTCCAAAAGGCTGTTGCTGCCAGGACTGGAGCTTGGCAGAACAGTGGCACAGGACTGGCCACAAATCTAAGTGCTATCTGGAGAGTTCAAAGGGAAAAATGCCACCCTCTTCCCCAGCTCAGAGTGGACTGCAACAGTGGCACCAGTGGTTATGACGCAACACCGCCGCACAGGGCGTAGATCTCAAACAGAGCTGGGCTGGGCACACAGCAGACCCTGCTCAGCTGGGAGAGCTGCACAGCAGGAGCCGGGGGTCCCTTGGCAGAAAGGAGCCCTCCTTCAGCTCCCACCAAACAACCCCCACGGCACACCCCTGGCCCTAGTGTGGGGGCCACAGAGCGCTCAAAGGGGTGACAAACCCATTACTACAGTCACCTCCATGGCAGAGCGTGCTTGCAGCCCCGCAGGGACCTTTGTGCACAGGACAGCCCGGTGGCCATGGACAGGGCAAGACCCCCTTGCCCTCGTGGAGCCAAGCGAGCCCAGGCTGCGTGCCGCTGGTCAGGTCAGCAGGAGCTGACACCCAGCCTCGCTGTCCCCTGACCTCACAGGAGGGAGGGCAGAGCTCCTGGCTCAGCCTGACCCCAAAACAGCAAGAGCAGAACATCCCAGCCCAGACCCCCCACTCCCAGCCTCACCCC